CCACATCACCATATCCTTGTCAATACCACCCTGGGAAGAGGAGGCAGGGACAGGTGTACACATTGAGTAGAATGCAAACCTCTGGGCAGCAGGCCAAGCGATTCAAAAATAAAAATCAAATTATGCCTCTGTAATAATTTCTACTAGGCTTTCATTCATGTATACTCATAACTTTAAATGTTAATAATTGTACACCAATAGTTTTATAAAATAAGATCTAAAATTTTTCATTTAATTTCTCAAATTATATTTGAAAATTAAATTTGTTAATGAACTATAAAAGTTGTCCTGTTATAAATGAAAAGTAGTAACACAGTAGATGTCAGGTTCAGGCATTTCACAAAACAATGAGGCAAAATAAATAGAAAAAGTAAAAATTAGTTACCTGCAAAGTGATCTTATTGTAAAATGGAAAAGGTTCCCATGCCTGAATTCTAAAATCATAGTTAACTTTACAGACCATCAATTTGATGTACCTTGCCCTCACATTTAATTTATTTGTAAATACTTTTCCAAGGCTACCTAAACACTTACTAATTGATTAAATATGCTGCCCACATTAATTCCTCTTAAAATTAAAAAAAATTAAAGGTCCACTTTTGTGTTTTTGCAGTGTCTGATCTATTTTCAAAGTATTCGATGTTTCAGAAAAGGTGTTTATCAGGTTCTTAAAACATTTAAAAAATGGCTCAAGGGACAATTTATATAGCCCTTTTACCTTTAACATATTCACTATCTTGGAGTTTGTTGAACAAATTCAATTGTTCTTTATTTCTTTTGAAACTCTTCCCTTACCCAAATAACTAAAGAATCTAAAATGTTATCGGTATAAAGAGAAAAAATTTATATTTATCTCTTACACATTTGGAAACACAACAAAAAGAACAAGTATTCCAGGCAGTGTAAGTAAAGTTATTCAGTAAAACATTTTTTCCTTTAAGAGGTAGATACATAGATGGATAGAGAGAATAACAGGTAATTTTTCATATGTCTTAATTTTCCAAAGACCAGTAAATAAAAAATATTAATACATTCCTAGAAGGAATCAATATTTTGATTACACAGCTCAAGAGCCAAATGATTACTGAAACAAAACTTCAAAGGTAGTTATAGACACGTTTCGGTTATCTGGCTTTTCAAATCTCAAAGATAGGCATTTTACATTTAATTTAGCAAATAACAATTTAATTCTGAGAAATAAATTTTCCAGAATACCAAACCAAAATGTATATAGTAACAGCCAGGATTCTGTTAAAAATGAAGGAAAATATCTTCCACCTTTGTATAACATTAAAATACACAGCATCTTTAAAAATTTTTAAATATATTGATAAAAGCAAATTCAGTAACTTATTTAGCTATAAGATGTCTGCTTATTAAAATATTTTGGTTTTAATAAATATATAGATATAGAATTTTATCAGTATTAGCACACATTTATAAATCATCTTCCATAGCAGCTAAATTCCTCATAGAATTTCAAATAGTAAAATGAGGCATATAAAGTTCAAATAAGAAACTCAGTCTATGAGGTTTCTGTAATTCTAACTGAAATAAAGATTTTGAATATACAATATCCTTAGATTATTTCTGTAAATTGGTATAAATTAATTAAAGCTTCAGAAAAAGGATGTTCAATGGGTAGTATTTTTAAGGCATTAAAAAAGCTTGATACAACCAATTCAAATTAGACATTGTGCTGCGCCCTATCTAAAGAGGACTCTCTAAGGAATTAGATTTTATACTTGTGCACTGAGAGTGCATTTTCTAATTCAGACAAGGAGCTAGTTATGTCAAACCCAAACCCAAAGGAAGCTTTATATCACCTTTTGTGAGAGCAAAAGCCCCATAACACCAGCACTTTTATTTAAGTTGACAAGAATCATAACCTGAAGTGTCCAAACAACCTGATTAACAAATGGTCTAAAATAACTGGAAGAAATACTTTACCTTCACTTTACAGAAGTTGAATTAATTGATATTAGTATTTGGTTTGTCAAAGTGGCAACTATTCAAGATCTAAAAGACTCATTATTTTAAACATACAGCCTAAGTCTGACTTCTAGTCAATGTAACTGTCTTGAGCCAAAATACAATAAAAACGTAAGATAAACTTCAAAGGTTTTGTAAGTATTAATGGCATTCTGAAATCTCTGGACAGAAGACAATTTAGGGAAGGGAGGAAGCTTCTCTTCTCCACTGATAGTTTAATCACTTTCCAATCAATTTTGATTTAACAGTGGTTCATGAGATTAATTTTTTAATGAGTTCTTATGAAGTTGCTTCCAAAATCCGAAACCACAATATGATGTACTCAAACACTGCACCAATTTAATGCTGTTATGGAGGTATTTACAGAACGGTGCAGATAGGAGTCCAGTTGTGAACACAAGTTAACATACAATGGATTCCAAAATAATAATTTGTTTGCACAGTATGGCAAGTAAAAAATACTTTGTATAAGAAGTCTAAAAATCCAGCTCTAATTTTAATCCATTTCTATAAATCCATAAAAACAAAAGAAAATAGGCATTTATTTCAGAAACTTCATATATACCTGTGGAAAATGGAACACAAGTAACTTTTATTCAAGATTAACCTTAATCCCAAATCCCAAATAGAATACAGCTAACAATTTACATATTTTAAATTTTGAAAATATTGTAAAAATCTAAACCATTAGAGGCGCCAGTAGTTTGTGATCAGTAAATATTTCCTGTTAAATAACAAATAAATTAACTTAAAAGGTGCAACTGATAGGTCTCAGGATTTTAAAATCTTTTAATTTCAAAGGTGCAGAGTTACAGCACGTGTATATAGGATGGGCTTTAAAAATGGGTATACGTAAACTTTTCCATGGTGTTAGTGTATGTACTTTTTTTCCTTAAAGAAATGCCTATTGCTTACAGTGGTTAAAGAATCTTCACCACTCTGTCTAAAGTTTTCAACCAGAAGTCCTCATTATACCTTAAGCCAAATTGATTATTAGGTATTTTACAGCTTTTTACAAAATGGCTGTAAAATCACATTATGAGCATACATAGCTCTTTGATCTCACTGCACAGAATTCATAACTGTTCAATAATGCTATACCATTACACCACACACCTTAAACTATTTCCATTTTTCCACAATTCCTTCCAAAATCAGCTTCCAAAGCAAAGCAACTTAACATGAAAAGTTCCTGGGAGGGCTTGTTACACAAAAGAACAATTTGGAAACAAACTAATCTACACAATATCCATCTTCTGTTGAGCTTGTTTATCCCTCCATCACTCCTAAAGGTGGGTGTACTTGAGTAATGGAAAGAGGCTCTTTTATCACCACACACCCTCCCAGTACCTCTGCTTTTGGTCCTCAGACAGTGATACTGTGTAGGTGATGAAAATCATAAGAAAAGAGAAGCTGTCCCTTTAAAATGCCCTGCTCTGTCCCATATCCCACGTGGAACCAACATCAGTAGCACTTTCCCATTAATTTCAATGTAATGCAAGAGGCACCATGCTTTTATATACATAAAACCAGAAAACCTCAGCCTAACATTCTTTACTGAGGATGAACAGGTGAAGCAAACGTGTCAGGAAGGGAGAAGCCAAGCAACTCCCCACCCCTCCCCAAAAGGTGCTCCAGTCTTGCACTCCAGTCTCTCAGTGCAACATCACCTCTCTACCCCTCCTCCGTAGAGCCTAGCTTAAAGAAAGGAGGGAGTCACTACCAAAACCTGAAGCATAAATGCGACGAAAATGCAATTTAAAGCCGGAAAGGTTTATTCTTCCAATCACACATATTAAGTCTATTAAGAAAAATGGCATCACTTTTTTTTCCACCAAACCCCCCCAAAACCGCAAAGATCATCGAAAGAGAGTTATAAAATAGCAAATATAGTGTTTATCTTATCTCAGATCAGTCCACATTACCAATAAGTTTAGCAGTTTCTGCACTACCACCTCCCCCCTCCCTCCTCCTCCCTTCTCTTGCATCGGATTTTCACGTTTTCTCATTGTCGGTTGAGTTATAAAAGGCTTTTGCCCTTCGAAAGTTTTAAAAAATAAATAAATATTAACTCCTTGGTCCCTGCAAAGTCAAAATGGACTTCAGGGGAAAGGCGGTTCACACTTTTACCTTTAGCGAGAAAAGGGGGAGCATCCCGGATTTTTAGGGATTTTTTGCGATTTTTTAAAAATTTTTATTTGGTTATATGCCTGAGTTCTCCCTCCATTTTGGTTGTTTATGATACTGACAACAAGCTGTCCCTGCTCTGTGCAGATCTCCTGCTTTCATTTAGCACCCCCCCCCACCCCAGCCACACATCCAGGGTTCACACCTCCCCGAAGACCCCGCACCCGGACCCTGACTCGCCCACCTGAGGAAAGGGCAAAAACAAATTCATTTCTCCAAAAAAGAAAAACCTCTTTTGAAAAAGGGGCAAAGTTACCCCAAGTCACTCAAAGTGCCCCCCAAATATTGCCGACTGCGGGTTTCCGCCAGGCCCTTTGGGAAGCGACCTTCCCCCGGGATGTTTTGGTGGAAAATGCGGAGAGTTTACTCTCAAAACTGAATTTATATTAATTTTTCCCTTATTTTTCGGGTCTCTAATGTCTTCCGCTCTCGCTGCAGCCGCTGCCGCTGTCACAATATTCACAGCACCAGAGAGGAGGAGGAGGAGGAGGAGGAAAACTTTTCAAACTTTCCAGACCCTGAATAAAGGGTTTTTTTTTTTTCCCACCGACCTCACCTTTGGGTCTCCAGCCGCATCGCCCCCTGCCCTGTCAGAAGCGACTTCGGGAGTCCTCACACCCTCACTTAATTATTTTATTTTATTTTTTATTATTATTTTTCTCTCTGGGGTCCTGAGCAGGGGCTGAGAGTAGCACAAACTTTTCCTCCTCCTGCCGCCGCCGCTGCTCCTCTGCCCCCTCGGCTAGTCCCATAATTTAAATAACCCTGATATTTCTCCCGCTAAACGCCTCTCCGCCGCCCCGGACTCCGGGAGAACTCACCGCGGGGCTTTAACATCCTCCCTCCGGCCCGTCCGCCGCCTTTACACCGCCCGCGGAATTTCTAATAATTTTTTTCTCATATTTCGGGCTGGACGCGGCGGGCCTGGAAATTGTTTCCTTACGCCTCTTTCCAGCAGCCATTGTAGTGTATGCGCTGCCCCTGCAGCCCAACTTGCAGCTGCCGCCGCCACCGCCGCCGCCGCCGCCGACGTCGCGCCCACCGCCGCCTCCCCGGG